TCGGGCTGTGACCTCAAATGTCTTGCCAGATGCATAGGGGCTTTCCAACGCAGCAACACAAATCTGAGCAACCTCCCATCTGAAGAGAACGACAATCAAGCCAAGAATCCCACTATCTCAAGTCAACCTCCAATCACAACGTGATTGGTACAATTTATGTACAAATCCCTGTAATCATGTATTTTCCTCTTTTGTTATAGTTGACCACCGCTAGAATCCTGTATATATGGTGTATCTCAATATGAATCAAATCATCGAGTGATTCAACCCAAACTTCTCTCTTGTCTATTTTTCTACAATGATCAAGGCTTCTCTCCTCCACCGAATGAGAATTATGGTTATTGTACTTCCACAAGTTTCTGCATTTGTGGACCACAGATTGAAGGTCCTTGGCCGAGAGCACAAACCCTTCTACGTTTGTATGGCATTTGACATTTTCAGTCCAGTTTGGAAGGTTCTTAAAACGGAGAAGTTTACCGGGTGCAGCCCAACTCAGAAGTTGTTCATGTCCATAAAAGTCATCATTCTCAAGGTCCTTTAGGATCATTACCGAAGGCGAAGCTTTTCCAGCCTGACTGTCATCGCCAGTCTTGAGAATCCACATAGTGCCTTCTGCAATGAAGATCATGCGATCAGCTGGATTACCCGCTTCAGCAAACATGTAGCTCTCGGTGTACGACACTGGCTTGGCTTCAGATAGTCGCAAATCATTTTCAACACTTTCTCATCCATGCCTCTAAGCCCTGGTAACTGTACACACACTCACACACATATATATTTATATATAGCTTACATTAATAATGGATATGTAAAGATGAATAAATGTTTACGTTGAGAGAGGGACAGAGAGGTTGAGCAATATACTTCTTTGAGCGCATCCAGACAGAGATGACGCTTTAGAGCTTTTTTAATATCCCGGGGAAGAACGGCGAACAGATTCTCCAGATTAGCATCTTTGTTATCTTCCAACAATTTTTGTTTTATGTATTTTATGATAACTTCCTGCAACTTCTGAGCGACACGTTTTCTGGTCATCCACGGTTGCAAATCTCTCTCTGTCGCAATCATCTTCTGCCTTATCTCCTCCGCTTTTGCCGCTTTTGCAGTTTGCATCTGCATATACATCTGTTTCACCACCACAAAAAATAAGCTCCATCGATCAGTTCCGAAAATCTTATAACTACAAGTGAAGCTCAGGGAAGATTATGCATGATTGAAAAAGAAAATAACAGAGAGATTCTTTAATTGCCAACCTGCACATTAATTCCGATCAAATAAAAAAATATTATCAAACCACAGACCAAAACAAGAATTGCAAAGCTGATTTCCCATGGATCGTTATTTGTTCCGTCTAGGTTCGTGCCAAAATTACTGCAAAATAAAAAATAAAAATCTGTGATGTGAAATGGTAAAAGATGGAAATACATATGCAATAATGCAAACCTTAAGTTTCGCAGGCCCCACCAGAAACAGAAAAATAGTTTCTCTACCAGTTTTTTGGATTCGGTGTTACGAGACTCAAGGGCAGCTTGAAATATTCCAAAGCCAAAGTCTCCACCTGGAGCGCAACTTGTATTTAGACCATTTATAAATGACTGCATAGCTGTGGCTGTACCGTTATCCCTGTTGCAGTAAAACGTATAACCGCTTGGACAATCTGGACCACATTTCTGATGCCAGCACGACACTTCTCGTTGAATAGCGAAGAAATACCAAAATGCTCCAAACACCTAATTAATAAAACACAGTTTATGTTAACAAAGAATAGTAATAGTATTAAGTCAATTGAAAAAGAAAACTACACGAAACTTACATGGCTTGCAAGAATGTAGATAAAAAAGTTGAATAGACATTTAACCCATATTCCAGATCTTTTTGTAACCTTAGACGATAGGTGTATTCGATAAATCCTTGCCACGTACTGAAGGAGAAGAAAGAAATTCAAAATCTTCCTATTTTCCAAATATCCAGGGCCTCCCATTTTGAAAAAGATGATTACAAGCAGTACCTAAGACAAAATAAACAACAATTCAACTAAGTTAGTAGCTCACACACCAATGCAATGATTAATTATTATATATCACAAATTAAAAAAATATAAAATAAACACTTGAACTTTGTCTTACTTGTGGGACGGGAATGTCAGTTATGAAAGAGCGCCATCTCAGCTTTTCCCATATTGCATCAACGTGTTCAAATGAATCGAAAATTCTCGAAACCCAATCGGTCGAATTTGCTGCTGCTTGTTCTTCATTGGGATCTGACTCCTCGGCCACAGCTTTAATGGCTTCACGAATTTGATATACAATATGCACTATGAAGGGGACATCAAAGAGGGACCGCAGAACAAGTGCTACGTTCTTCAACTTGACGTCCATGTCAAGGCACTTGTTTTTCTCATCGATGATTGGTATGTAAAAGAACAAGGGATCTAATGAAACTGCAAGCACAAATGCAGTGACAAAGCTTTGACATTAATTAATGTTTCCATCATTGTCCAGAAAGGTTGCATGTCAAAATCTTTTTATAATTTTCCCCAAGTCTTTTTGTTATATATTTGGTGTTAACAAGCCAAAGTATGCCAATAAAAAAGACTGAGAGTCGGATTGACAATAATAATAAGGGAACCTCATGTCAGACGTGCATTTTAAATTGGTATTTTGTTAACACTTTCGACTGCATTAAAATTTGAGTTTTGACACCGTCACAGATTTCATATATGAATATGATGTCCGTGTGAGTGATCGTAAAAGAAGAGCAACAGTCTGCAACACTGTGTCCACTTGAAGGCACTTGTTTTGCTGATCGATGATTAGAATGCAAAAGAACAAAAGGGTCCAGTGAGACAGCAAACAGTACACATGATGTTACAAATGTATCTTATTCCATATATGACGGTATTGCCCCTCTGGATTACATATTTTCTTCGTTGTGGCATACGTCCGCATTTTAACTGGACTGGAAAAACAAATACCAAATTGCACCCATCGTCAGAATAGTCAGAAGAATGAAGAAAAGAAACATTAAAAAGACCCATTGCCCACTGAACCAAGAAGCTCTATTTATACTAATATTGTATTTAGACAAATTAATACAACTAGCTAGTTACCATGCAGCTAATTGGTTCTGTTCTGTCCTCTCCCTACGTAGTAATATAAACAGTAATTATTCCTTCCCCTCTTAGCTACGACAAATTCAAATAAGTTAACCATAAATAAATAAATCAAATTACACCATTAGAAAATTTTAGAATCCCATAGAGCCCCAATGTGGGAAAAGTAGCTTTAAAATTCATCGTTTGGAGTGGCATGATTGATTGGTGTTGTAGTTGACAAGCTCTCACCGTTACAACCCACTTCTGTAGCCGGGGGTGGGGTAGACGACATCGCTGTAAGCGTCGTGAGACGTTCGTTATTACTTGAATAAACGACAAACAATTATTCTATCTCACCACAAACAATTAATTAATAAGCTAAAGGAAAATGATTGAAAATCAATAGTAGTAGAGAGACTTCAATACAAACCTGCGCAGTTCCCATGACATATAAAATCAGTAGGAAGCCAGTGATAGAAATAAAGATTGCAAACAAGTTTTTCTACAAGTAAGGATCCGTTCGGTAACGTTTTAAGTGTTGAAGAATATAAGTCTTACATTGAAAACTTAACTAAATAAAATACAAAATATAACAAATGGTTCTACTATTAATAACACCGAGGCCTTTTGTGATAAAACCTTACAAAAGTGAGGCAAAAACACGTTCGATGACCCAAAACCAGAAGACAATGAGAATGTTTCATTTTCATTTACTGAAGATGTTTTCTTTTCATGAAGATGTTTTCTAATTAATGTGCCAGATGCATTTTAATACGATTAATTGATGCATTAAGGAAAAAGTCATGTAAGGGAGAGGTAAGGGGAAGGGGGTATTTGGGTGAGAATGGGAAATTTGGAGAAGGCTGGCTTGAAGGCACTTGTTTTGTTGATCGATGAATAGAATATAAAAGAACAAAGGGTCCAGTGAGACACCAAACACATGATGTTACAAATATCTTATTCCATATATGATGGTATTGCCCCTGTGGATGACATATTTTCTTCATTATGGCATACATCCGCGTTTTAACTCGACTGGAAAAACAAATAACAAATTGCACCCATCAGACTCAGAATGAAGAAGCTCAAATATAGGGCGGCTTTTCTTAAATCAATTGAATACTAGGGTTGAAATATTAAAAGCATAAACAATGAAAATGCATCAGATTCATATATATGATATGAGTTAAGGTTCGGCATGCATTATTCATAGTTACAAGTGACAGCCAAAGCCACTGCAGATACAAGTCCTATAAGCTTGATAGTTAGTTGATACAGCAAACATTTTTCTATACGAAGAAGAAGAAGAAGAAGAAGAAAAGTTTGAATTCTTAATGTAAATTAAGAAGAACTAACCCATCTGTTTTGTCTGTCAGGTCCGCCGGAACTGCAGCTACTGTGATGCTACCCATAATAACTCAATTGACTGCTAGTTTAGAGGGTTTTGAGTTTACAGGGCGGAGCAGAGAGAGAGAAAGGAACAAGGAGCATTCGAGTGGCTGAACCCCTTTCCGAAACCAAATTTAAGACACAACACAACTGAATCCAAATTGTACCCGCAGCGCATTTTATGCATACACAAGGTTCTGTTTAATCTCTTAATTATCGTGCAGGCCAAAAATTAAAAGAAAACTAATATATATATTTTTTGGTCAATAAAAATGAAAAGAAAAGTAATACGAATATGGCGTTTTAGCATTGACGATCGAGACGATTCTTTTTGTCCGCAAGTCTTTTTGTAATATAAGTTAACAACTCGAGAGTTGAGAAACGATCATGAATCAATAAAAACCAGAGTGAGAGAGTCTGATTGACAATAATAATAGGAGAAAGGGAAGGGAACCAGTACATAGCTAAGCCAATAATTAAGAAGATCGGAGTCTTTGTATATGGATTTGGCTATTGTTTATCTACAAGCAAGCCAAGCCAAAATTCTATCATTGGTTTGGGCTTCAATTTTGACGGCAGATGGGCTTCTTTCAATCAAAATTGGGGCCAACCTCACCTCTGCTCTGCTGGGATTCACTTTGGGGGGTAGGGGTGTGTGCGTATTCCTAGACTCTGAAAAAGGTTCCTGCAATAAACAAAAACAAAAACAACAAAGGTAAATCATATTGTGTTGGTCTTCTTTTTACGAATCTACATGACAATTGCCACCAATCACGCCACTGATCACACTATAAATTATTGGGAACAAGTTACGCTAAAATCACGGAAACAACTCCAAACCCCAAAAACAGCTTTTGTTTTGAAAAAGAAAAAGGAAAAGAAAATCAGTGGGATCCGTTACTCTCATCAGTGAGAAACACTTGTGTGAAATGAAAATAGTATTATTATGCTATTCTCGACAAATTATGATATGTCATTCGTGATAATTTTTTTCCACGTGACAATCTATAATTGATTGAAGATAATAAAATAGTGCTATTTCCGTTCGTTTCACACAAGTTTTTCTTCTCATTAGCTAGCTGCACTAAATCAATCAACACCTTTCATTTCATGTTTTCCACGGTAGTGGTTCCCCACGGTGGACCCATATGATATTATTTTTGAAGTCTCATCATCAACCGTTGATCAATTGAGATTTGGTGCATTGGAAATTTGGAACCGGAGGAGACTCTCAGAAGTCCGAAATGATGTTATGTGGTTTCTTCTTCCTCTCTGTTTCTATCTACATACATGTCGTTGTTGATGAGTTTGTTTAATGTTAGATTGCACGTTCAATCCAGGCAGCATGAGTGCCTCCAAGGTCACGCCTTTGATTTATATTATGTAATGCCCACTCCACTCATCTATCTATGGCGTGGTCTTTTGACATGTGCTTTTCAACCCACTAGATTGAAAAGCAATTGTGCAGCGAATTCAGCAGAGCAGCCATTGCCCACAAGCACAACACAACATCTTCTCTTATCCAATTCCACTCCAATGTTTTATCATGTATGTATTGAATATTCTGTATAATGTATGTGGGGACTCAGAAAATATCCACTGTGTGACTCTATCTATCTACCAGCTGCTTTCCGTGCCTTACAAATTTAATTACAAAGGGCATGGGCCTCCTAGCAACCAACCATGACCCATCCATCCTCTCCCAACGAAGAAGTTCCTGATAATTCGGTCATTAAAATGGAAGGTCGAGATCAAACCTATCAGTCAGGTACAAGATGGAGAATCGGGATGGGAGCTACTACTACTAGAATCTTTTTGATTCTTCAGTTGGGATCTTAATTCACATGCTTCTTGCGTAAATTAATTAAATTACCAATAGTAACAATACAATAGGTACGTTTTGATGGAAGATTCTTCATTCTTTTTTATTGCCAGCCACATTTTTTTGGATGAAAATGGTGGCAAAGTGTGCAACCACTCCGAGCCGGGATTGTTTACAGTAAAGCTCTCCCCAAGGGGTGTTTTTCACCCGCTGAGTTACGAATGCTGGACCTCAAAGGGTATCCAACTAACATTCACCCAACTTGCAGGAACTAGCCCCAGTGTTTCCGCTAGACCAAACCCCTTGGGTATTGCCAGCTACATTTGAATTCAATTTGGATCGTTTTTTTTAAAGCAGAGCTTTAGACACATTTATTAATGGGATGAAGTTCTCTGTAGAGACACTCAGACCAGATTTTTACGAAAATGACAATTCAAGGAAGGTAGGGTAAAGCTTTTCATGGGTTGGCCAAGAAACAGAAAAAAGGCTAGAGCTTTTGATGGGAACTTCCACAAAGCCATAAGCTTTCAACGATTCAAACCATTTCTGATAAGAAAGTGGAACCCATGAACCCGCTCCTTCTCTACCACGGTACCAACACACCACCACAACAAAAACAAGCGGGAGGGAGGGAGACACACAAAGAGGCTCAACAACACGAACTGGAAAAAAACAACATTGCAATTTCCAATTTTTGGGTGTGGTCACTGTTTGTGTTTAGAGACAGTGGGACCCAATGATACCAAGAAATTTTTAAAAAAACACCAAGGAAGTAGGACCCACTAAGTGGCTAATGATGAGGGAAAGGGAGGCCTAAATTAATCACCTGTTCTTCTTGCTACCAAAAGGAGAGACTTTTGCTCTCTTTAAAAATCTTCTGAAATCGAAGTGCCTCAGATTCCTTGTCTACACACAGACGTGCTCGCCTTGATGGATGTCCCTCCATGCCTCTCTCTCCCTCTCTCTCTCTCTCTTCGCAAGTCCTGTGCTTTTTTTCTAGTCCTCATGGTATTTGAATCTCCCAAACTAGAGTTGTCGTTTTCTGTGCTTTAGTCAAATCTTATACCAAACCATATTGGTCACTGTCAACAAGTGGCCTCTCTATTTATTTTCTACTTTGCCCTTCTTCTTCACCATTTAGGTTTCACATACTCCTGCTTCGAATTGGGAAGGCGGTTACTGGGTTTTGGACTTCTCGGTAGTTGCGCTTTCAGCTCCAGAAGAGCATTCACTAAGGTTAGTGGTTAGCTTGCTTTCAAATATACCCCTTTAGACTTTTGTTACGCTGTTTGAGAGAGAACAAAATGACCGGAGAAAAGAACAACTTTCAACTGAGCTAATGCAACTGCTCATGGTTGGTTGAGGTGAGCTTATCTTTGAAAAGGCATAATGCATTCAATTGCTTTTCATTTCCAGGATTTCCTCCTGTAAAAAGAAAAAGTTGTGAAATTTTGCAGATTTTGATGTTTGTTACCCTCTTTATGTAATTCACTATTCCTTTTCCTTTCCAGCATTACCTATTTGAACAAGAAAAGCATGAAAACCAACGATTATCTCAACAATAAAAGAGAGGATACTGAAATTTGACAGCTTTTATTGTTGGTGAAATGCAGATAAAATGAGTTTTAAGTGTTTTCAAGTGTTTAGTATATTGTTCTGTTGATTTTCCTGTCTGATATGGTTGCGGAAATGTGGCAAAGCACTATCTTTATGCTGTTCATTTTCTTATTCCCGTATATTCTTTTTATCTCTGGCACGGCTGTTGTCTAATTAAAATAGTAGCTTCTGGTATTTTATTAATTAATTGTTAAATGAGACGCTCTCCTCTCTTTCTTGCGCAGACACACACACTTGGTGTTGCTTAATCAGTTTAAAAATAAAAAATTGAAATGGGATTTTTATTGGTGCATAACCTCACTCTTCCTCCGTTTCTCGCTTTCTCTCCTACACACGTTGTTTTCTTTTTTTCTTTTCGTGGGGAGGTGATTTCAGATTTTTCATGGGTTTTGGATGCTGAGTTGTGCATTACCTTACTATAACCTCATATGTTCTTGCTGTTGGGTTTTTTGACCCCCTACTTGGCCTAGTCTTTTAAGTTCTTATCTTGATTGTTTGCAGCATAAGGAAATCTTAGTTCACTTTCCACGTTTATGCTCATGGGAACAATAACTACAAGTATGCCCGTCCCTCGAGTAGCATCTAATTTTGATGAGGTTTCTATGCATCAGAGCCTGCTCTTCTCTGATAGTCTCAAGGTACTACTCTTCTGCTTAAAGATTATTGTTAGTTGGTTCTTAGTTTTGCGAGTTCAATGAAATGTACCGGGGGTTTTAAATTAATCATCTGGAAAAATCAAATCTTTGGTTTTCTGTATACCTCAATCAAAAATATCGGAATCCGAGGGCAGTTAGTTTGTGATGGTGGAAATATCTCTTTGTAGAGTTTTATAATTTTTTCAGTCAGAGACCCTTACAACTGAAGTTCTATGATTTGCTTGCGCATTGCATTACTTTTTCAGGATTTGAAGAATTTGAGAACACAATTATATTCAGCGGCAGAGTACTTTGAACTATCATACACAAATGATGACCAGAAACATATGTGAGTTATTTTGACTCGTGGAAGTTTGGGTTTTTCATAAATATTTCTTTTCTGTCATTATTTTAACAAGAAGAAAAAAAATTCCCTCCTGTTATGCAGAGTGGTAGAAACATTGAAAGATTATGCCATTAAAGCTCTCGTGAATACGGTGGACCATTTGGGTTCTGTGACATATAAGGTTAATGATTTCTTTGATGAAAAAGTGGATGAAGTTTCCGGCACAGAATTTCGGGTATCTTGCATTGAACAGGTAAGGTTAAACTGTTAAAGTAATGCCTTTGTCAGTCATCCGGTAGACACTTCTGATTCAGGGCTATCGATATAAAAGAAATCTTGAACAAGCTTGTCTGATGTCTGTTTCTATTTAAAAGATCAGTGGAAACTGGCTTTTTTGGGTTTGGTAGAAGATAATTAAGTTTCCATGTAGATTGGCTCACATGATATACCTGCTTCAATTGTTGGTCTGCTAAAATGCCAACTTCTTCTACAGGTTCATAGTTTATTAGTCAAAAGTTTTGCATGACAAATATTTCCCAGATCACATTTTATTGTTTGGTGGGTATTTTAATTTCAATGAAACTCTTATGCTACACAGCAAGGAGTAGTAATTCCTTTTAGGAGAGCCTAAGTCGGTTCAACAACATTGTGTGAATTACTGCACCATAGACCATACTCAACTCCGTTAATTTCTAGTTATGTTTTTCAATCACAAGAAACCAATACTTAAGAGACGCTGACAATTTTCTTTTCTTTTTCGTGGTTCGTTAGAGGCTAAGGACATGCCAAGAATATATTGATCATGAAGGTCTTTCCCAACAGTCATCAGTGATAGATACTCCGAAATATCACAAGCGTTACATCTTGCCAGGCAAATACTCAGCTTCCTCTCTATATATTTTTTTGTTACTTTAAGCACTCTCTCCATTTTGTAATTTTTGTCCGGCTTTAAGAGATAATTCTTTGAACTTAAATTCACGTTCAGTTGGTGAGACCATGCGCGGTGCCAACAAAACTAAATCCAAATACGAAGGTTGCAACCTGGATGATGAAGATGAATGGCATCAATTTCGGAATGGTACCATGCTTTATCTTCCATTTTGTTTCAATGCATATAAGTAAGCAATTGTTTAACATAACTTTGTTCTTGTTGTAATCTGATCGGATTCCTAAAAGCTGTTCGTGCTACCATTAGAGAAACCCCTCCACCTACAGTCAGGTAAATGTTGTTGCAGCACTTGTTTGAACCAAGCTTGTAACCCAGGTTAATCTTGGTCCTGTTTTGTGCAGCAAAGGGCGTTCTCCATCTCCTTCTCCACAACCATCCCAGCGGCCTGGAGTTTTTTCTTTTACATCTACCATGCCCAAAAAGGAATTAGGTGCGTATGCATGTTAGACATCGTGATATTGACACCTTTATAATGAATTGGCCATTTAGAATCTGACTATGAGGCTGTTTACTATTGAATCAGAGAAGCGAACAGTTTCACCTCATCGGTTTCCACTTTTACGGTCTGGATCTCTTGCAAGTAGGCCAACAACCCCGAACAAAAGTCAGTCAACTACCCCAAACTCAAGTAGGCCTACCACTCCGAATCCTTCTAATGCAAGACGACGGGTGAGTGTGGGAATTGGATTGACTTTACCTGCATTTTCACTAGTTCATATACTTGCCACCATTCCCTTCTATAGAGGTACTTATAAAGTAAAATGTTTATGCATATGCCAGTACCCTTCAGAGCCTCGTAAATCAGCTTCAATGCGATTACATGCTGAAAGGGAAAATGGAAGAGAGGTTGAACAATACCCCAGCAAAAGTAAACGCCTCCTCAAAGCCTTGCTTAGCCGGCGCAAGTCAAAGAAAGACGACATGCTATACACTTACTTGGACGAATACTGAGAATGGACATTGGAAGCAGAAAATTACTGCATAGTTTTTCTTTCAGCTTTACCATGTTTGATTACCTTTTATTTTTATAAAGCTATGTACGTTTTGAAATCTTATAAACATTATATATCAAATGTTATATATCATTTCAGAAGTTTGCTGGGTAATGCATTTTAGCGTCAATCATTGACGACATTAGCTGCAGCAAGTTTGAAGGAAAGAGAAAAGCTTCTCTGTACCACTATGTTATGTTGGAGGAACTTCGTTGTCGTTTAGTTGCCACCTTAAATGGCCTAATCTGTCGGCAGCATCACAAAAGTTCCTGTGCGTTTTGAAATCTTATAAATTATATATCATTTCAGAAGCTTGCTGGGTAATGCATTTTAGCGTCAATCATTAGACGACATTAGCTGCAACAAGTTTGAAGGAAAGTGAAAAGCTTCTCTGTTCCACTATGTTATGTTGGGAGGAACTTCGTTGTCGTTTAGTTGCCACCTTAAATGGCCTAATCTGTCGGCAGCATCACAAAAGTTCCTGTGCGTTTTGAAATCTTATAAACATTATATATCATTTCAGAAGCTTGCTGGGTAATGCATTTTAGCGTCGACCATTAGACGACATTAGCTGCAAGTTTGCAACAAGTTTGAAGGAAAGAGAAAAGCTTCTCTGTACCACTATGTTATGTTGGGAGGAACTACGTTGTCGTTTAGTTGCCACCTTAAATGACCTAATCTGTCGGCAGCATCACAAAAGTTCCTGTGCGGTTGATATTTTATTTTAGGTAAAAATGCAATGCTGAGATTGCAGTGCATAAAATCGTGAACAAATGAACTTCATTGCTCGCTGCAAACCCAGTTGAAGTCACCTCAGAAATCCCATTTAAACGCTCAGTTAGAGCATTTCCAGCGGGAGGGGCTACCCATGCAAGAGGCTCCCAGACCCCAATCCCGTTTCTAGCGGCCAAGGCTTGCCAGGTCAAGCGCTGGGCTCCACCAGTTTGGGTAAGCCCAAAGACAAGACTTGCTTTGGCTATTATCCGGGCAAGCTGACCTCACGCTAACATCGTTGTGACATTAGCAGTCAATTTAAATACCAAAAAAAAAATTGAAAAAAGAGGGGGGAAAAAAACCCAGAAATTTCAGAAATTTTTTTCTCTAAATATGTAGCCATATTCTTCACTTCCCACACCAAGACTCCATACAAATTCCTCCTCATATTTCATGTGAATAGTGATTGCTCTTGAATTGTCATGGCAATAAGTGGGAATGCATAAAAAAAATTGCTGAGGTAGTCACCATTCATATGAACAGTAACTACCCTTGCCTCCCTTTGCCTTTTGCACTGGCAAATGAATAGAAGTGCTCTTAAAGGCGAACACTGAATCACTAGTATACTGTAGAACGACAACCTTCTTTCCAGATATCTTATAGGTCCGAAGCTAAAAATTCAAACTACAATTCATGCTTTGAAAAGTTCCACAAACACCGACTTTTGACTCATTGCGTTACATTACAGCTCATTTCATGAAAAAACTAGCTAAGCTAGTGGTCACAATTCCATTCCTTTTCCGAATTCTTCAATTGTTTTTGTGGCAAGTGTCAATACATCTACAAATGCACTATATGATGCTCGAAGAAATCTTGCCTCAACAGCCTCAAAGTGCCTGTACATAGGATAAAAACAACCGCAGATTCAGTAGAAAGTAAATAGGCAGAAAGAAAAATTTGTTCCTCCTCCTCCCCGATATAGCACTTTCTTGCATCAGAATCATTACTATCAAAATCATTCTTCGATAAAAGTTTGAACAATTAAGGTTCACGAAGAAAGAAATTTGCTTACACTGAAAGCTTTCCATTAGAAACTGACATCTGCCTCTTCACCTTATCTGGTTGCAACTGCAATTATAAATGGAATCAGATAAGATGCTAACTGAATCACTATTGAAGTAAGCAAGACATAGATTAAGCATATGAAAAATCACCTCCTTATCAACAGCTAATACAGAATAGACAATAGAAGCGCTTTCCTCAGACTCATAATCTACCTCCAAGTCACTGCAGACAAAATTTCAATCTAAGATAACAATGTTCCTCTGTGGGTTAAAGAATTCTCAAAGACAGATTGTAAATGATGGAAGTTGGATAAATGATCTCCACTTCCCATAGAAGCACAACCATTGGAAAACTTTACCAGGTCACTCAATTGTTCATACTCCTGTAGTCCTCGATGCAAATTTGGTACAAAAAGAGAGACTACTGGTTTGAAATTTTCAAATGACAGTTTTCTCATTTAAAGTTTATTCTTTTTTTGAAAAGAATTTAAAGTTTATTCTCAAAAATATCTAGAGCAATCTCAGAAACCTCACCCAATTTTCTTAAAGAGGGTAAACCTCAGCATATCTTGATCTACCTACCTAATTAGGAGCTCTAGAACTCCTCCCTAACAATGCTGAAGACCACATATTAGCACCTATGAATCCCCAAGTTAGCTCCAATCATAAATTAGAAAAATCTAAAACTGAAGCGAAATGTTGAAAATATAGGACCAATTCAACTTCTCCAAGAAATTTAGTATGTCTTTCAATGATGAATCTCATTATGACCGGTTACTGTGCATATTGTAAAACTGTAAGGAACAACATGAGTTCGGATATAACAAGGAAGAAAAAGCTACAGCCTACAAATATTATATTAAAATTACAAAAACGGGGAACGCGTAACAGAGAAGCTCAGTGGGATGAGATGAAAAGACCATAAAAGCAAGCATACAAGCCACACATACATAAAAGCAGAAGAAAAATTATGGAAAAACTTGGAAGTTAACTGAGAGACTACACAAATTCATCGAAACAGATACTCAAGAAGGCAACTTTATGAGAAAAAAACAAATTCAGCTTGAACTACATCACCATAACTAATGTTTTTAACAGATACGTGATAGGAACAAACTGACCCATAATGGAAAATCATTAAATCATTAAAAAAATATTTACTTTTTGGTCCCTATGGGATTGAAAGAGGAAGATAATCAAAACCCAGAAAAACCCAGTTGAACTGTTGACTTAAATTACAAAAAGCAAAGAGACGCCAAAAGACAGAACCAGAACAAAATTACATATTGAAATATAAGAGAGGAAAGGGAGAGAGTATAACCAGCTAAATTCCCACTGGGTTTGGCCATCTGCCTTGTCAGAAGCTACAGCAGCCATAGTCCTGTGGAGCTGAGAAGTTGGAAAAGATGAGCAAAATGTCGGGGGTTTATCGGGTTCAAGATGAACAGAACGCTGCGTTTGGAGGTTTGGAAGTAAAATGAAAACTGTGCTGGTAATTCTGTCACGTGCTTGATCCCTAATTTTAACGAATTGGGTTAGGTATTCGAATGACACAACTACCCTTAGTAGTGGGAGAAAACTACAGAAATTGGATTGTTGAGGTTTACTCGCAACTTCGCTAGGCATATTGGTATATTCGGGTTGTATATCTGCCATGTTATATAACTCTCAGTGCTGTTCAGAGTTGAGAAGATGGTATCTTTTCCAGCACAACAAAGCATCTCCCTCGCCATCCAAACCTTTCTTTCTTTCTTTTATTTTGGTTACCTTCTCAACAAAGCAAAGAGCACATACAACGCTCTGATATATCTCTCAGACACATGCAAGTGCCAGGCACGTATTCTCTCTCTATCTCTTATGTATAAACTTGGGTTTTGCTTCTTTTTTTCTTATAGTTTATATGTTTCTACCGTATAATAATTCCAGGTTTGAGAATTGGCCATGAAATTCTGTTGTGCGGTCTATACATAAAAATTTGCGCTCTGCTTTCCTTAAAATTTACTGTTTCTTTATGAACGTAAGTACATACGACATGTCTTAAAATGATATTCACTTTGATGCTCTGCTTTCTTTTGAACAAAGGCATGTATGATGAACATAAGAATTTACTAGGCATGCATGATATCTGTTCCTTGTCTCAATACATGTGTTTGTTTGAGGTAAACTAGTGATGCTGCTAATTGGCTGTATAAAGTTTGATACCTTAATCCATATCATATGCAAAGATCTTGAGTTTCGAGGTTCGAAACCCAAAATTTTGCTCAATTCAAAGTCTTTAGAGGTGGGATGAATGTAGTTGAAAATTAAAAAAAATTGAAATTATAATATATATGTAAAATAGGAACCTTTCTGCAGGGGAAGTTGATATATGATAGCAGAAAGATGGATACAAATAGAAAACCCCCTATTATTTTTCCCTCTCATTCTGGAGGCTTAATCTGTAAAACGTGTCATTTGTAAGGACTCGTTGTGGTACAAATAATAAATGGATGAATTAGCATCGTATGTTGCAAGTGAACGAGGATTGGGATCCGCCTAAATATTGGCCCTTGTGATCTCTCTCCATTCCTGCCTCCATCTGCAACATGTCTGTATTGCCTATAAAGGGCCTCATTTTGTAAATAATTCTGGCTTACACTCGTGTTGGGAACTCTTCACAGCATTTACTTGAGAGCGCCAACTGCTTAAATACATTCGGCAGTGCCAAATTGCCAACAGAATGAAAATTTGATAAACCCCTGTTGAAAGAAACAACTATGTCAATTGTTGTGCTTCAATTGGTCTAATAAATGAGCTCTTGAAGGAAAAATACAGTATAATTTACCAGTACAACATGTGGGTCTAGTGGCTATCTTGTCTCAGCCTATGTGATGGAATGTCCAATTCTAGCTGGTTTTATACTTCTGAAGGTTCTCCTTGCATTCTCAAATGCCAATGCAAAGAGGCCAAAGAGGTATAAGAGGTAAAGATGTAGCTTTTCGAACATATTGCGCATGAAAGATACACAGTTGCCTTCATCAGTTCTTTTTCTGATTAGTGGCATTCTTGTAGCCATCCACCCTGTAAACGATAGCATATATTGGCATAAATTCACAAAATACAGCAGGCATGCTGTCCATTAATTCATGCTATCATACAGAATAGCGAGAGAACAGTTCCTTTTAAGTTAAATTGCTTACCCAAACTTTTTTCAGGCAAATTTGTCCAATCATGTGGCTCTGTCTTTGCTTCTGATGCCTTGATCAACTCAATAAGAGCTTTGTTGACCTGATATGTGAAATAAATTAAAGTTGCAAATCATTTCCACTGTCAAGC